CAGACCGCTGCTCTACACAACTGTCAGCAATGATCAGAAAGTCCTGATTTCCTTTTTAAAAGACAGAGGCATAATTGAAGAAATATCTTCACTTCAGATTGATTATTCGGCGACCCTTATCCACATCTTCACTCAGCAATTTGAATTTTAATGAAAGGAAATGGAATAATTAGCATTTCAAAGTGTGTTTGATACACTGAATAAAAAAAAAGGAAAATACTTTTATGTATAATCTATACACAAAAGAAAAAGCATTTGGGAAGGCGCAGAAGATATAAAGTACAGTTGTAGTGTCTTTATTAGAATAACTTAAACAACAGCTTGCTCCAGCTGTATAATTATACATGAGAATAATGTGCTATTAAGCTATGACTTCTCACCTTTACTTTATGTAGTGTGAACAGCCAGCACTTTCGTTGTTATGTCTGTCCTCTCCAGTTGTAAAATATAAACACCATGGCTGCCCACACCCATAAAATCTCTATACCAGGCTAATACCACTGGCAGTAAAGCTTTTACAAGAGGGTCTCCACACATCCGTATTTTTAAATTACTAGGAGCAGGGCACCCGTAAGTACACCGGTAATGAGTTGGTTTGCTATTGGTTTTGGTTGTTTGCTTTGTTTTTTTGGTTTTGGTGGGGGTTCTTTTGTTTGTTGGTTTGATGGGTTTCGTTTATTTTTTTAATGTAAAAAAAAAGCATCATGAGTATTCAGAGTCTTGAGCTAACACCCAGAAAAAGATGTGGGAAGCATGGATGGAAAAAAAAACCAGTGTGCCATTTGAAGGCCACCTGTTGCCATGGCTGCAGAAGTATATTGGCAGGTGATATGCAATGGAAGCAATTTTACTTTAAAAGGACAACAAATAAAACAAATACTGACCCAGCTTTGGGGAACAGATACAATACAGACATCAATTACCCCATTAGTCTTCTTGGCGTAGGACAAGCAAAAGTCTTCAGGTAAAAACCAACTTTTATGAAGATCACACTACTGAACTTCACCACTGCCCACAATTTTTGCCCACCTGATGGAAATGAGTTCATGCAAGAGAGAAAGAAAAAGAAAATGTATTTACAAACACAATCAGAGCAAAAATGGAAAGATCACATACCCCAATGATTGCGTTCAGTTCTGCCATGGTGACTTGCTTGGCACGCTCCACAGCCTGCACCACTTGTTGCTGGTGCTATAAATGAAGATCAGAAAAAGAATAAAATTATTTGTTTTCTAAAGCATTAAGCACAGTTTCTTCCTTTTATTGTCTTTATTTGCTTTTCAAACACATGCAAGGTCTGAAATAATCATTCTCTAATAGACAGGCACATTGTGTGTTGATCTGCAAAAGTATATAGGTAAAGAAAGGATTTTTATTCTTACGCCATTACATGCTAGGACTTACACCTTTGCTCCCCAAAGAACTATTCTACAATCTGGCTAAATGGGAAACTGTCTTTCTTTTGCTCATCAGCACCGTTTGCTCTTGAATTTACATGGCAACTTAAAATGCAAGCCACTTTCCTTATGGTATGGAAACCTTTTACATAAATTCAAAAAAAGTATTCTCGGAAAGAAAGGTATGTATTTCCAACAAGCACATAGCACCCACATCACTGAGGGATATACAGATTCTCCGTTTAGGTATGTTTCAAAGCAGCTCAACCATAAGAAAGAAATTTAAAATGCCATTCACAAATCTGTCAAACACATGAAAAACTAATTATTTCAAACCCCAACATGTAAATTTTAATAACTTTAAAAAGTCCATCAAAAACACAGGGTCTAATTAACAACACAGCTTACAAGCTTCAGTGGTTACATTATCTCAGTTTGAGTGATACTGTATTCCTGCAGTAAATTCAAAATTGCTGTATGTTGAAAACTGACTGATATTTATTTGAAAATATCAACTACAAAAAAATAAGGCCCTCATCTTGCAACCAGATCCATGCCTGTTCAGACCTCCACAAGTGGCATATCAATCTTCACAGGCAGCCTCACAGATCACAATGACAAAGGACAAATAGGTGCAAGGAGGGGTCAGGAAGAATTGCTTGTAGGTTGTGTGATCTGCACAGGGAGTTAGACATCTATGATTTACAGGCACAGGTTGAACACAGAGAGGAAGAAGGTCTTGCCTATCTGAAGAGGTATTAAAATCACAACAATGAAACATCAGTTTTGTATCCAAACGATCATCTAAATGTTCTTTGGAAAGTTTAAGGAAAAGGCTGAGAACATCTCTTAAAAGACTCAAGTTTGCCCCACCATGGCTGTGTATATGGGAAGAATTGAGCCAAGGTACAACCCATTCAGTAACTCCTCCTGTGCGCCCTTAGCAGGAGCAAAAAGCAGCATAAAATAGGGTGGGGACCCAAATCCTCAAGACTTCCTCCAACACAAAGTGTTAGGTGAAGAGCATGAGGACTCCCCAGGGAGCACCCTAAGCCTCACTGGGACAGAGGGCTGTAACTACTTCAGAGGCTTGGCAAACTCAAATTTCACAATTCTTAGTGCAACACACAAAAAAATGGCATTTTCTCTTATAAACTCTCTCCCATACAAGCCTTCAGGGCAAGGAAAAGCAAACCTAAAAATCTACCCATAACTGTAAGAAATGCTGACCTCAACTACGGAAAATGGATAAAAGCAAATAATGAAGGAGGAAATTTAGAAACACTCTTGGAAGGAAAAAAATGGGGTTTAGGCTGGTTTGTTTCTAAGCAAAGAAGAATTAAATTTAGGAAATGCCTGGAGACCAAATAACATATTGCTGCAAACAGAATCACAGCAGACCCATTTAGAGTTTTGTAAAACTACAGTGTTAATGTAAACCAAATCCATCACTTATAAGAAGACAATATAAAGACTAAAAAGCAGGCTGAACACGAGCAAACATGTTCTTGTTATTCAGGAAAAAATGATGTAAAAAAAATCCAGTGTATCACTATCACAGAGAACTAGAAAATAGGAGATCATGATACTCACTCAAGCCTCAAGTTCCTGACAATGTGTTATCATCTCCAGGTCATCACTTGTTAAGGACAGGTACAGCTTTCATTGATTATATAGCTGAAAGCCTGGTGACACATGGCTCTATATGTCCACCCTGTGGACATTTTCTGGTGGAAGTCACTCACTCCAAAAACGAGTCACAGAATTTTTCATCAAGTCATCAAAAAAACCCAAAAAGAACGACAAAGAGTTTGAAAAATCTTTACATTTTTTAAAAAATAAACTAATTTACTGAGACATTCACAGTCATCTTGTCTTTGCACCATTTCCTAGGAAATGCTTTTTGCACTGAGGTAAAGAAGGCATGCTATTACAACACCCATTTACTTATATTCTATTCCCAGGCCAACAGGCAGCAGAACAAAAATCTTCTGAGGGACCCACAGAGAGCTGGCCTAAAACCATCAAAGTTATAGAAATTACTCCAATTTTCATCCAGGATTCAGAAGATGAGTCATCTCCCCAAAAGCTGGAATGTTTTCTGTTCCTTTACAGTAGGCTCTCAGAAAAATCTGGGGAAAATACTATTTCATTGCCAAGTGAGCACAAGAGAAGGTGAAGTGGTGGACTACCAAAACCTCACTTTCAGATTTCTGCTAGAGCAGGCACACAAGGCATCTTTCATTGATTCTAATAGGTTTGGGATCAAGCCTTCACAGAGAGGAAAAAACCCATGGGCCTAGTAACACTGAACCTAAATTAGACACAGTAGAGACAATTAAAACTCTCCTATTGCTAGCTGCTTTAACATTGATTTAATCTTCAGTAGCATAGTATGCAAAAGACTCAAAATAGATGGTCTGTAATTAGCCTCTCCATCACTTCCACCTCATTGCAGTAATAGAGCAGATGCCTGCTCAGCTCCCTGAAACCACACAGGAGGCCTGTCCTGAGTGACCCTGGGGCTACTGCAAGTCACAGGCACAAACTACACACTCCAGTGGATAAAGGCAGAGGAAAGCCCATGCAGGGTTTGAAGAGGCCACTGTCTGCTCATAGCCTTTCCAAAAGTGGGGCAGACTGGAGTCTCCGCATTACCAGACATGGCTCCAGTAATGCATAAGGATCTCTACACTCAGCAAGGGAGCCCAACTGGGCTCCAGGGACCCACTGCAACCCAAAACCAAAGTGAAAGGCAGGGAGCCCAGGGGCCCACTGTGTGGTATGTCAGCTGGCTCAGTCAGCCCGAATGTGTACCCAAGGATGGTTCCAGTACCTGCCAGGTGTCTATATGCCTTCCCAGGCCAGTGTACTGGCAACAAGCTGCATTATGTTAAAACTAAGCAATACACATTAGCACCATTACCATCAAGTGATCACTCGATACACAAGTATCAAGTGATACATGTATCAAGTGATACACATTACCATCAAGTGATCATATAGCCATATACAGCCACGTAAATACAGCAACAGCAAGGAAGGGTTACTTTTCTCCCAAACAAATACAGACACAGGGTTGCAACTTCCACACACATTTAATGCTAGCCTTCCTCTGTGCACATGAGCAAATGACAGACCTAGTTTGTTTCAGTTATGGGAAAACAGTATTTTGCAACACACTTAACAGGCCAGAGCAATGAGCTCAATACCCTGCCCCACCTGTCATGAAGACAAGTACTTTTTCTCCTTTCTAACTTCTCTTGCCTCTTTTCCCCTTTTTGCTTTCTGTAATGAGAGGTGTGTCTGCACTTGTGCTGAAAATCACCTCCTTTCAGTCTCACAGTGGGTAGCAACAGCTACAGAGACCACAAGAAGGATGTAGGTTTTTTCACCATCCCATTGTCTCACCACACAGTCTTGTCACCAGGTCCTACCTCATGCACAGGCATTGCAGCATAATGGAAAATGCCCGGCTTTTTATAACATGTCAGAGCTCCCCACAACTCCCAAAGACAGGGGAGCTGTGCTGACAGCAAATGAGCAGTTGAAATTCCCCCAAGCACACATGCACTGACATTGGTGTTAAAAACACCTAATTACAGCCTGTCTTCAGCACCAACAACATCCAAGCAAAACTCACTGAACAGCTCACTTTGCAGAAGCAAGAAAGCTCTGCTATGCTTTACTTGTATTATTTTGCTGTCTTATCTGCTCAGAGGGAGTACAAGTCTTGCTTAAGAACTGAAATGTCCTTCTGAAAAGCCTTATCTAAAGACAGCATGAGACAAGGCCATGCCAAAAATCTTAGTGAGAACTGGACAGTAAACACACATTTACCATGGAGTATAGCATACACTTAGAAAGCTAAAAGGGACAAGCTGGGTCACTGCATCCAGCACCATATCTTAGACAAGATGTAATAACCACTTCATAAAAATATAAGAACATTATTAGCAATATATGCTTAAGTTGCTAATGAGTTGCCTTCCTTGGCAGAAGGATTACAGATCTCTGACAGCTTCCTTGTACTTACTGTTTAAGCTCTAGTCTGGGGCAAGTCTAAGATGGAGGAAAATAATTTTGTCTTCTCAGACTCTCACATCTCAGACCAAAAACTACTTCCTTCTGAACAGCATGCGAGAACTCCTGCTCTGCTTCTATGTAATGGATCTCACACTCATCCAAATTTGCTGCAGTTTAGAAGCACCTCTAGGAAAAGTATGTACAAAGAAGAGCAAGCATATTATAGTCCACATCAATCTCATAAAAGGAAAACCAACAACGGGTATCCAGGAGGTGACTGAATTAAATGAAGCATTTCCTTTTGATGTTTGTTTGCATGTATGCATACCAGCGCTTGGCGTTTTATTGTACTTCTAATCACCTTAACGTGCACAGGGAACTGAAGATCTCTTTTAACTGGCTTGTTATTAGTTAGTTCACTAGCAATTGGAAAGGAAAGTGCACCTTCCAAAAAAAGTTCATTAAAGCCTCTTCCAGCCTACCCCTAATGCTTGTACTGTAGCATGGAAGTTGACAGGTATCAATACTGTGAACATATATCTGGCTTCTCAAGCAGCATTTGCAGGTTGTGCTGAGCTTCAAGTTGCCACAACTACAGCATTAGCTGTGCATCAGCCAGCTTGCATGTGTCTCATGAATATAAACACCGTCAATATTTACTCAAAAGAAGGTAACTGTGATATATGAGTATCTCCAGACACCCTGAACAAATACCACTCTCCAGCATATGAGGTCGTTCAGCACTCAACAGCCCACAATAACAGCCACAGGTTGCAACCAGCCACACACACCACCTTGAGCAGACAGAAACCAGTCCCAACTTGAAAGCCACAGGGGTATGGAAGTGTCACATTCTGCTGCAGTTGGTAAATTCAGTTGAGAAGTGTAAATTAGCAGAGGTGCTGTCTATGGTCTTAGATCCAAAATGAATTGCATCTTACTGGCTAGATCATTTAATGATGTGAACATTGAACTACCCTATACCAACTGCTGCAGATCAAAGCACAGAAGTCAACTGAGTGCTAACCACCTTCAACTATTTACCTACACCCTGGCAGGCACCCCTTTCACCTGCTGCAATAGGAACTACCTTGAGCATGCTGGTATCTTACAACATTACATGGAGGTGGAAAATGACTGTTGGAACACAGGAAAACTAAAACCACTGCAAAAATTGAACACACATTGCCCCTGTGGTCCATCTCATGCCTCAACCTCAAAGTCACTCTTTCATATCAAAATGGAAAGCTTCTAATTCTTTGTGCTGTTTTTTACAGTCTGCCTAAGTTGGAGTCAATGTAAAAGCAAGGTAGTAGTTGACTGTGCATTTAGGCAGGTTAGGAACTTTATTTTCAGTATATGCTTAGATGATGTACAGCACAGTAAAATGGACTGAAGCCTGGAAAAGTAACTGAATACTTTGCTGGATTGTCCCCTGAAAAATAACCAGTCGGTAGTACACAGTAAGGTGACGTATTGTAACTGCATCCTTTTCACAAGATCTCTAGCAATTTTGCCCACAATTTCTTACTTCTAAGTGAGTTATCACAAGCCATTGATTCCTTACGAAGTTAACAAGCAATAAGACAAGTTAACCTGGTGCTATTATGAGGCAATAATGTTCCCATCAGTGCATGCAACCACTGTATTTTGTTCATTTTTCCCTCAGGCGCAATACAAAGGAGCCTGATCACATTTTTCAGCCACTATTCCACAATCAGACTGTATGCAAAATGCATAAACAGCAAAAACATGCTGCAATTCAATTCTCTATTAATCTAGATGATAAAATAAAAAGACTTCCATTAAGGCACTCACTTTTTAAAGACACAAATTAGACAGAAACCAAGACTAGCAGAATGCTCAAATCTGAAGATGTTTGACACATCAGCATATGCCAATATAGACCAATTTAAATATGTATTTCTACTAACAGAGGTCAAACAATTACCAAGATTTTCCTAAGCCCAATACAAAAACTATCACAATCAGTTGCACTGTCAAGACACATTAAACCTTTTCTTTATGCAGCCATTAAGCACACTGGTGCTGGGGCACTTAAGCCCTCACTGGGTGGTACTGTACCCACAACAAAAGTGGGACAACATCACTTTCTAAATTTACAACCTGGATCATCTCAGTTGTCCACTTAAACAGTTCTCATAACTAGCCTATTAATGACAAGCTACTGCAATGGCTAAGTCCAGAATTGCTTTCAAGTTGCTCTCCATGTCTAGTTTGATGGCCAGGAGATCCTTAAATGTGATCAGGGCCCTCAACTCATAGTTCACAAGTTATTATTACATCTGAATACCACAAGTGACATTCTCCTTAATAGAAGAAAGTACAGTGTGCAGTCTTCAACAGTGCTTTCTCCATCTATGGCAGGGACTTAAAACATACCAGTACCAATTTACAGAAGAATGATTCCAGGGTGATTTAGCTCCAGGGACAGGAGAGTGTGAGGCACAGCGAGCAGAGAAAAAGGAGAGAGTCCATGCTCACCTGAGTGGTGTGCCACTAACATTAAAGCTCAAAAACATACAGCCTTTTATATTTTTTTTGTCAATTCCACGTGAGTATCTAGCAGGGGTGGAGGCTAGGATTTTCAAACTCAAAGGCCAAAATCTATCAGTCACTGTGAAGCAAACACATCTTTCTTCAAATATATTCTAAGCCCATGTAATCCCTTTGCTTATCTAGTTGGCAAAAAACACCTATTCCATGGGAGCACGTGGGCAGGATTTGTGGAAGCAGAGCAAGCAGAGCAGAGTGACTTACTTGTGTTCAGTATTAAAGTTTTTTTTATCACTTCAGCCAAAAGTAGTACCAGTACCAACAGTACTATACTGATACAAAGTTTCTAAACACAGTATCACATACTCTAGAGAAGATGTCTGTCATGGAAATGCTGATCCTGTGTCTTTGCCAAGATACCAACTTTTCCTGCCAAGTACTCACCTCTGTCTTTGTACCAAAATCGTGTCATTTTAGTATTCACTTAGCATGAGTATGAATCAGCTTTACACCACGTTTTTATATGGTGTGCTATTTTGCACAGCAACTAAACCCCTGTAACTGTATGTATAGAGATTCTGAAGTGGCCAAGCACAAAACAGCTATTTGTTTTAGATTTGTGCAAGGACTTGAATTCTAGTCCCCCAGCAATGTGGCTAGAACATGACACGAAATTTAGTTTCCACAAATCCATCTTAATAAGCAGAGAGCACAGTGGCACTCATGAACATTGTTGGGTTCTAGTTTTGATAGTGTTATTCTCGTTTCAAACACACACAGATACACACGTGCACACACACAGTGCATTAGCTGAATGACAGTATCAAGCACAGAGTCTCTCATTCACAGCAGGTTGAGCAGCTCTCCTGAAAAGCAATGGCATTTTATGGAACTGAAAAGGTAGGAGAAATAGTTGCATCATGTTCTCAGACATGATGTTTTACAGAAATACATCCTCCAGCTTTGACTTCACAGCTACAGATTGAAATGAAACCCTGAGCTAAATAGATGCACACCAATCTGTGTCAGCAAGACCCTAATCTCCAGCCCCTTTCCTCCAGAGGGGCAGGCAAGGGAAGCCCTTAATGCACCCAAGGTCTCCCTTCATGAACCACACTTTCTTTTTACTTCACATACACCAGTTGCTTCAAAGCTCCCTCCCTAGCTTCCACCAACTTCCCCAAATCCCAGTGCCCCTCAAAGTATCTACAATGCACTCATGGTAATACCAGCAAATCATAATTTGGAGGAAATTAGTGCTTTGAGAAATTAGCTCACAGTGAGTTTCACTCTTCTGTTTATATTCCCTAAATACACAAAAAAAAAACAAACCACAAAATGATTTAAGGTAGTAAGTAATCTGGGATGCAGAGAGCATTTCTGTTTCTATTTCTGTTTTCTAAGACGCATTTCTATGCCTACTGTTTTGAACATCACTACTCATATACCAAAATAGAAGTTTCTGCTGGACTTTAATGCTCATTACCAAGGACACAGCACAAATCATGCCTTGCTAGCATTTCTGCAGGCTGACCCCTGATTTTAGACCAACTAAATCGTAACTGCAATACAAACTCCATTGGACAACAAAGATTTAAACAACTAAAATTTTGTTTAGCACATTAAAACACATTCCATTTCATAAATATATTTAAACCACGTTATAATAGACTTGGAGAAGATAATGAAGTTACGGTGATAACAGCACAGTGGAAAGTCATCTACAAGCGCCAAGAGATTCATAAGGAAACAGTCTCAACACAAAGTCCCACTTTTGTAATAGATACGATGAGGCAATCGTTTAGATCAGAAGCAGTACAAATGACTACCTACCTCTTGGGACAGGAAGGGAATGACTTGTGCACATATAGCATTCAGCCTCTTGACAATTTCTGCCTGCAAGTGACAAGGAAAAAGAAGTTCAATTATATAAATTCTCAAATGTGATTGTCACCCATGAACACTAAAGAGACATTTGTTTGCTTTTTTTTTCATCTCTGGCCATCCTCTGTCCAGCACATGTTATCAAAATAACAAAAGTATTTGGACACCAATTCAAAATTACTTAGGGAGCTAGTAACTTCTGGCTAAAGAGTTTTCCTTAAAAAACCCTGTTTAGCACTGACACAAAGATGAGTCAATTTTGGCTATACAATCACAGGCATTTAAAGAACAAAACCTTCAGGAGATGTAACAAAAAAGATAAACAAAATTCTATGTATCAAACTAAACTTTCTCCTAAGATGCAAAAGAAAGGAGCATTTCAAATTACAGCAATGCCACTGTAAGCAATGGGAACAAATAAATCATTTACTACTAACAGTGTATATCATGAGAACATTAGCATTGTAATATATAACTTCAATGATAATAATGCTACCAAATATTTCAGAAAGGGATACTGCAGTCTTTTCTCACACGCTGTTATCAAACCCGAAGTTAATAGTAGTTACTTTCATGCCATAACTGTGATAAGAAATAAATAATATACAATGTTTTATTTCCATACTGGAGATCAATTCTCAGTCTGTATATTTAATCTGCAAATCTCAATAGCAACAGAGATGATTTGGTGAGATAACACAAGAATTACAGCTTCAGGAACAGAATATTTAAAGCCGCATAGACTTTCCTACAATAAATCATAACTTTCTTCTAATAAATTCTAACCAGGATCAGTTCCTCATTATATGGTAGGACAGAATGCTCTTCCTCTTGCAAAATCACTAACCATATGATGAAGACATACAAACTTGTGAAATTTAGCCGTCCTTCTTTTAACAGCAAACCTTCTAGCCGTTTTGCTATGCTGTCTTTTAAATGGCAAATGCTTAGGAAAGAATGTATAGAACAGAAAGGCTCAGAAGTAGCAGTAAAAAAGTCAGAAGTCCATATAAAATAAATCTGCATTCCAGAAATACTACAGTTACACAGCTGTGTAACCAGCAGACATGGTTTGCTAGAGGTAAGGGGACATGTGAAACTAACTCTGCCCCCTTGTGCATACTGTGTGATACATTCGAGTTAACACATAAACACATTTTGCAATACTACTTCTTAATTTCTCTGAAATCCATCTAAACTCCCATACATTATTTACACACAAATTTCTATGTTGCACTGTCCCTGTATCTTCTCACTGGTCTTCACTGTTAATGCAAGTATTTGTCTCATTAAATTTATGCATTTTAATACACTTTTTACATTCATCTACTACACACTTTCTACTTATTCAGCAGCACGGGTACCTTATAGGACACTACAGAATATGGTCTGTTTACCACAAAGCTGAATTACCTGCCAATTTCAAAGGTCTAGATGTGCCTATAATATCAGATATCCCACAATGTAAAACTTAAATATTTCTTTCAACAGGCAGCGTTCACTATACTCGTTGACATGGAAATTTATGAACTGCTTGTTACACAGAGCAGTACAGGGAGTGACAAGATGTATGCACCTAAGCTTCAGCCAGAGAGGCTGCACAATCTGATATGGCATTACTTGAGAAATGATATTTGATTAAGGAATTGCAGACTGTAATACAAGGCACAGCTGTAAAGTACCTGTGCCGTAGTGGTTCAAGCACCATTAATTTAGTCATTTCCAAATTTTGTGTTCCAGCCACACTGCTTTTATTTTTCAAAGGAATCTTCCAAGTGCCTTAAAGCCAAAGAGAAAACTACGTATGCTGTTCTTTGAGGCTTTTTATATGAGCAGAAAACCCCAAAGCGATCCTGTCTTGACATAAGCTGAAGCTCCTGGCCTGCCATTTAAAACACATACGTACCTTAGTAAAAAAAAAAAAAAGCACATCATGCTTTCCTCCACTGCAAAACAACTCCTCCTACCCATCTTTAAAATGCCTGTCGCTCCCTTACCTACCTACTGTGCAGCTCCTGAGGAGAGCGTTTGGAAAACCAGTCTTCCACCTCAGCTACGTTAGCTGGATGTTTTTACTGCACTGCTAAGGAATTGAGAAAAAAAAAACTGGCTTGAAGTGCCAAGCAGGAACTCAGCATCTAATTTTAAAAGGCTTGTAAGATTCATAGATTTTAAGGCCAGAAAGGACTGCTACGATTATCTTATCTGACCTCTTGTGTAACAAAGGCTGTAAAACTTCACTGGCTTCTCCATCAAATCCGTAAATTACAGTTCAGCTAGAATATAGCTTAGTCAACAAAAACAATTTTATTCAATTCACTTTGAGGCATTTCTTCTCAATTTAGGTACTAAACCACAGCTATTTCAAGTTATTTCAGCTATGACTTTTCCTTTCTGATCACTTCTCTCCCCCCTCCCCAACAGGAGAAGTATGTCTCTCATCTACTGCGCTTCTGGCCAAAAAGTGGCTAAAACATATTTGCTCAGGATATATACAAAAATTCACCTCTGGCAGATTCTGAAACTGGGAAATGTTAAGCTAAAAAGAGTCTTCCAAAAGCTGTAAGTAACTGAAAACAGGTGACTAAGTATGAACAGTTACAAAACTGCAATTAACTTCTTGATATCAATACCACTGGAGTGCAGAACAGCGAGTCCTTTCATGCTGTATGCAGGGAAGTGAGCTGATGGAGACAGCACCCAGCTCAGCCTACGGAGAAGAAAAAGAGCTTGCTAAAATAGCTTCAAGTGATGTCAGAACATTCCCCAGCAGTATTTCTCAGCTAGGCAAGGGGCCCACTAGGCCAGTCACAACAAAGCCAAGAAGCCCTTGCTATGCCGAAGTGTTTGCACTTTTTCCTTATTAAAACAGTCTTCACTTCCCTTAACAATGAGCATCCCCAGTTACAGGGGTGTGCCAACAGTTATATTTTATCACCCTCAACTCTCAGGCAGCAAGGAGACAGCCCAACTGAGCAGCAGCAGACTGCAGAGGCACAGCATGACCGAGACATGGACTGACTACCTTTGGAGATCACAGGCAGCCCAAAGGCATGAAGGAAAACACCATGTACATGCACAAATGATAGGAAGGGCATTACATATCCTGTACCAAGAAAAGTCTTAAATCAGACCTTTCCACACAATAAATACGAAGTACATTCTGTCTCGAACTGCAACTGTTTCTGCAATTAATTGTATGAGATAATGCCACAGCAACAAGCTTGACAGTCTTTCACAGATTGTACAAGAGATGGAGTTAGCTGCCAGAAGCTATTTGAGTGGGATTCGTATGATGCTGCCCTAAACCTTGAAGGTGCAGGTACTGATAATGTAAGTTAGAATCTCAGTAGACTTCTTCCTACTGCCCCTGGAGGGGGCCTGGAAACTCATTCTTCTTTGCATAAGGTACAAACTCTGACAAAGCTAAAGCACAACTCCACATTTCTAAATTCATACACAATTTAAAACCCCTACATTTAAAAACACTTTAGGATCTTTTTTTTTCTCTTAGACACCAGGTAAATGTTTTTTTTTCATAATCAGTCTAACTTCCAGGAGAAGGAAAAAGTATGATTTCATAAAGTGATTTCCTCACATGGAAAAACAAAGTTGCCTCGGAAACATGTCTGCTTCCTCAGTCATCTAATTTTGCCTCTTTTGTCCCATGGGACCAGGCTTTAGAGAGACTCCATTTATTTACAGGCCTTTCCACTGGGCTTCAGTTATCAGCCAATAATACTGTGGACACACACACTTCTAATGGCCTATGTTTTGAAACCAAGTCTAATCTGATGGCGCAGTGCCCAAACTCCTTTTCCAGCATAGCCATTAAAGGATGTAGGTTATTGCTGTTGTCACCATTGATATTTGTCATTGTAATGTAATTAGGGCCCTAAAATGATGCATTACAGCCCTTGGCACAGCTTCTATTAAAATCTTTTCTTCTGCTCACTGAACTGTGACCTGCTTTCTGATGAATAACAGACAGACAGCTTTAGGGTGAGGAACAGATTCATCAAAGTAGTATTTTCCAGCTCTGGAAATAAAATAAAGAAAGAAATGAATAAGAGGGCAACCTAAGAAAAAAAACACAAGGCAGGGGGAGGGAGGAAGGGAGGGAGGGAGAGAGAGAGAGGTGGGGTGGGGTGAAGAAAAAAAAAGCACACAGCACATTTGAATTTCATCTGACCACTTGAAATTCTGATTGCATCTAATGAATCTTTCTTAGGACAATATATTCCCAGCCTGTGAATCACATGGTTAATCAAGGCTCTAATCTGCTATCCATCAGCCTATGCCAGCACTGTAACTTCCAATCACATTTATAGGTTATGTGGGTCATGCATCCCTGAACAACTACTTTCACGGATATCCCATCTAAACTGTCACGGATTCTGAAATGCTGTTGTTAGTGTTACTGAATCTTATAATACTATTCAAAGCTTTATGAAAGCTCCTGATAAACAACTGCTAAATTATTGCCTGTGGATACAGCACGATGCTCTGAAATAGCATTAATGGCCCAATAAAAGGGTGACTGTTCATGCCAAAATATAAAAAAGATAGCTTTTCCTGCCACAGTTTGTCAAATCTGTTAACAAACACTGACACTTCTATTACTCCTTTCCCTAAACAAGAAAGATGTTTGGTTTTGCATAAAAACACACCAGCATGGAACCAGAAAAGATGAAGGAGAGGCAGGAAGGGAAGACTGGGGTTGGAATCATCTTTTTACTTATGTAATTAAAGCTTGTATTGTTTGCATCCTGTGGGAGACACCTACAAGACCCTATTTTAAAAGTTTTGATGTCTTTCCATAGCCACTTACATGGAATAATTTTTAAAAAGAGAAAGATTAAATATTTCTTAACTACAACACTAATAACTTTTTTGTTTTGCTCTGTGTATAAAGAGACAATAATAAAATCACTGTGCCAGAATCTGATCCCACTACAGGAATCTGCATCAGTTAACCGTCTCTCAGCATTACTACAGGATACAACACCAGA